TTAGGTAGGTTATTTGAGTACGGGAAAGCACTCGACGGTGAATACGGCAAAGCTTAAGACGAGGAATGCTTTCGTGCGGGACCTTCTAAGGAAGGGATGTTCAGCCTTTTGCATGCCATGCACCAATTTTTGACAGACGAGTTCAGCTGCGCCAGCTCGAACACTTTTATACCTTCTTATGCTCATGGTTATAGACAATTAATATAGAAGTATGTTTATAGACATAAAATTTTTTAAATGATTTAATACATTATTTACCATTAATGAAACTTTTGAGCCAGTTTGGATTTCGCTTGTCTTTAAGTGCCCGGTGTTCAATGTTAGTTGGAGTTACCGGAGTGCCCGGTGTTCAATGTTACTTGGTTGTTACTTGGAGCAACAGAGAATCTTCAAATCTGTATCAGTTATTCGTGACGTGTTTTGCTTTTAATAAATTTCATTGAAGAAAATGCTTGTTCCCATCTGTATGTTGTTCCAAACAGACATATATAATTTTTTGGCAAATTATCTTAGCTCTGGGAAATGTTCACATAGTAGTGAACGCCAGAAGCAATTTGACCTGTGGAAGACCCTCATCAAATTTCGGTTTTAAGACTGTATTTTTTTATTTTATTTATTTATTATTTATTTATTTATTTAAAATTCAACCAGTTCCGTTTGTTTTCTGCTAGGCGTCTGCATTATGTTTTGTTCACTATTATAAAGGCGAGAATATGCAGTGTTCTTCATTAGTAAAATCGTGAAAACGGCTTTCAGATGTCTCTTGATTTTTCTTCCTTGTACGAAGTAAGGAGAACATTCCAATATAAAATTAACATCACCCATGAATCACAGCCGCTTTGGTACTATTCGGTTTCGAGGGCCGTAAAAAATCGCCTAACTATTGTTGATGCCAATGCTGCCAGAAATAACTGCGGCAGCCCTAATAATTGCAGCGAAAAAGGAAGTACGAGTATAATAGTAAATAACTATCTAAGATTGATGTTTTAATTTAGATGAAAGGTTATTTTCATATAATACTTTTTTATTATTATAATTTATATAAAAAAGGCTAAACATGACTGAATGGAAGCATAAGAGTAAATAACTATTTCAGATCATTATTATAATTTATATAAAAATTGCTAAACATAACTGAATGGATGCCTGCATCGCTATTTCGCTACCGACTTATCGCTAAAGCATAATTACATCTCGTTGGTTTTTCAAACGTAATTTTCTATAATGAATGATGCCTTTTCTTTGAAAATATTCTCGGTAAAGTGCAGAATCGCTCACTTATTTGTTTGCCGCTTTTTACAAGGGTAAAAACAATTGAATTTTTGTCAATTTTCTTTTACTTTTTAAGTGAAAATAGGTCGATGTTTACATAGATAAAGTCAAGGGTGTGCGCAATGCCATTTTCGTGCAATTTTAGGATTTTTTTTTAAGTGAAAATAGGTCGATGTGCACATGGATACCGAGTATGTGCAATTCTTAAAAACGCGTCAAGCAGTGGCTGATTCTGCACTTTACCCAAAATTCTATTGCAAACTTTTCATCATGACAATTCCCAAATTGTTAAATCAGTAGGATATCAAAACAGGATTTAAAAATTAAACTAGTATTTCAATGGGCGTCTTTAGAAATATAGAACTATATAAACTTACGCAATTTGAAATCAACGCGTACACTAGATTTGGCACGCTGTTAAATGGGTGCTTTTGCTAGATTTGGCGCTTTTGCGTATACATTTTCGCTGCAATTTTTTTACGGCCCTCAAAACCGAATAGTACTGCCGCCTTAATCTTCGGAGCCGCGTGCTTGAATGCGATTAACGGGTTTTGTATTTTTGAAGCCGTGTGAGTCAACGGTGCTTCACACACACAGAGACAGATTTATACGGTTAAAATTATTTGTACGGCCTTATGAAGTTACTCCGCATTCTTGGTTTTCGGCTTGTGGAAGCTTTTTTTTCCATAAATTGTAATATGATTTTTTGTATACTTAAATCGGAAATGTTTACGCCGGGTATAAGTGTGAGAAGCAGCTGCTTTAATATGTTCAGTTTTATTAGAGGTTGGAAATCCTTTTAGTTACAGTTTTCAATATTCCATCATTTTTCCGCTTAGCTCGAATTTATTCAGCATTCAATTCCAATATTAAACGAAAAGTTTCTAATCAGATATAAAAGTGATACGAATAAAATTTATGTGGCTTTATACCAGTAAATTTAGCATGGTTATTTTTTTTTAATAACTGAAAAAATCAGACATAGTCAGATTTCATTAAGGCAAAATATGTGATTGAGAAGGGTTGATTCTGCATGTTAATTCGTGGAACATTTTGCCAGCGAAATGGCAAATATCCACATTCTTTTCATTGTGTAGAGCTAAGATGTACTGTTAATAAGAATTTTAGCTTTATGTAAAGTTTTAACGCATTCGCTTATCTCCTTAGGCAGTAGTATAAACCTAGCTAAGTTATTAGTATTTATACCATCAAGAAATATCGACAGGATATTCCTCTTTTTTTTTTTTTTTTTTTTCATTTTACCTGTCGTGGGAGCCGGCATCTCTTGAAAATTATTAACGCGATTCATTAAAATTATTCTCGTGATTATCTGGATGATCAGCTGCTGCTAAAAATGTTTTACAGTTATCTTTAAGTCATTATGCCACAAAGATTTTTGATTCAGTTTAGCGTGCTTGAGAGTATCATGATAAATATTCGTTTATGGCTGAAATAAATCCCTCTACTTCGGAATACACAAAAGGTATACAGCTTGAAATTTCTAGTAGCTAGTAATACTAAGAAATGTTTCACACACAGAAAGAAACTTAATCACTCCCACGTGGATTTCTCATAGCTCATTATCGTTGAAGAGAACCCTCTAAAGTGGATAATTTCACGTTGGCGACGCTATGCCCCTCTCATCATTCATCAATCATGTGCGGCAGGTAACGGCAGCGGACATCTGACCTTACCACTCCCCACTAATTTCTGTAGAGATCTGGTTTTGATGCTTCAGGTAATGCACACTGCATACGTAGTGATTAGCCATCACTGGATACTGACACATTCTCACGCTGTATCTTTATTTAGTTCTTCAGTTTATAAGCTTGTCATGAATTCAGTGAGCTTCTGTTCAGATTTGACAAACGGCATTTTCATGTTAGCTGCTCAATATCTTGTAAATCCATGCCACATCAAAGAACACGGGATCGAACAAGTCGCAGTATCTGCTATCTTTACCTATTTGGATACTTTTTGTGAAGTCCAGTTCTCTAATTCATAGTTTTTACGTTTGGTTAAGTACATTTTAAACAAATTGGAAGGGGGCCAGTCCACATTTCCTATCTCTGATTCTCTTGTTTTGTCCATTCAATATATTTAGTCCAGTAATATTATACATGTGTTTAGTACAGCAATATATTAATGTGATATATATACAGGGTGTTTTTGAATTCGACCGACAGATTCACAGGGATGATAGTAAGGATAAAAAGAATGAAAAATTACCATAGAACAGGGGTCACAAACCACGTTTAGTGGGTGAAAATCGCAAAAATAGACGTTGATACGGATTAGGAGCACTGCTGCGGCCAAGGGGGGGGGAATCTCGTATGCAAATTTTCTATGTGTATGGGGTAAATAAAAGCAGCGAGCAGCTATTTAGGGGCACTGCAGAATTCACGGGTGTTAAACTTCATTCGAAAATATGTCATAATATAATACACAAACGAAGAATGTGCGGATATGCATCCGATTTACAGCCGAGCAGGTGGCAATGGACGCTTAGCACAGAAGGATGTACCAAAAGCAATATCACCTTCACGGGATCCTTCCATATAACGAGGTGTAATGCAGAGAAAGAACGCAGTATGCGCACACATGAAACAGAAAACCTAGTACTGCAGTGGTTTGCCTTTTCCCCATCGACTAGTACACGATCGGTTGCAACTGAACTGGGTGTTCGTCATAAAATGGTGTGGAAGGTTCTGCTTGCAGAAAACATGCACCCCCTTCCACATGCAGAAGGTCCAACTCCTAGACGATGACGAATATTTCTTTCGGGTAGAGTTCGAACGCTGGATGCTTGATGCCACAGAGAATGATTTCGTTTTATTCTCAGATGAAGCCTGGTTTACGAGAAAAGCCGTGGTCAACATGCACCATGCGCATATGTGGTCGTTCTAAAATCCCCACAGCGTTGTCTCACTGAAAGTGCTACAGAAGTTCAGCATTAACATCTGGGCAGGGACATTCGAAGATCATATATTAGGATATTACCTTCTGCTCGAACGCTTCAATGGCGTAAATTACCTTCTGCTCGAACGCTTCAATTTTCCTACAGCATGCTTTCTCTGATTTGACAAAAGGAATATCGGGCACTGTGCACCACGACATGTAGTTCATGCATGATGGTACACCAACGCGTTTGCGGTGCCTATCCACCTCGGTGCTACATATCCTGGGAGATGGATTGGCCGTCGCACTTCCTAGACTTCAATCCCTCGGATTTCAGATGGCCCTTCTTCTAGGGCCATCTGACGCCTGTGGATACACTAGAGGATTTGACAGCACGGATCATCTTCGCTTCAAGAGACATCGCCAGCACACCAGTATTTTGAACGTGTCGGGCAATCCTTCGACCGTCGGTATCGGCTGTCAAATGACCGTCGCGCCCACAGCTTCGAACAGTTCCTATAAAACTAACTCGTTGTCTCCTTTCTGACTCTGAACGGTCATGCATTGCAATCCTACTTTATGTCAAATAATTTTTTTCCTACTTATTATTGGCCCCTTTTGTTTCATTCGACGTCACACCCTTCATAAATATGTTTGCGATTTTCTTCCACTAAGCATGGTTTGCGACGCCTTGTTCAATGTCAATGTTTCATCCTATTGATGCCGACTATCACCTCTCTGAATATGTAACTCGAATTCGGAAACTCCGTACATATACAAGGTTTTTTAATTGATTGATTTTAGAATTTAAATTTGTTTCTCTTTTCCAGATCTTCCGAGTCAAGTGCCACCTTTAACTCCAGGGACCAATCAGAAAATGACGCAAGCGCTGGCGGCTAGCTTCAGCAGTTGGGAGAAAGAGAGAGACTTGTATAATATTCTTAGAGGTACGTCTATTTTGAAACTTCTGGGCTCACTATCAGCCGAACAGTCGTTCGAGTCGGATTCAGATTCCATCGAATGGATAACTGCCAGGGGCATTTTCATGATTATTCCTTGTGTAAAACGGATACGAACTAATTTTCCTTATGAAGTAACCAACCTTACTACTTTCCATACCATATAAATTGCTGAAGCTATAGCAGGGAAATTTAGTTATCTCTCGCAGAGAATTAACATGGGACTAATTAAAATTAATACTTAGATTTTGTGATGAATTTATACCGCCAGCCATTAGGTGGCGCTTCAGGCTTTCTGTCTTTGGAATAATTTTGATTCTGTGCGGAGAAATGAAGTCATAAAAGTGTTAAGCCAAAGAATCTGAAGGTGTGAGTCTAATAATTCGCATGATTGAAAAAAAAAAAAAAAAAAAAAAAAAAAAAAAAAAAAAAAAACATAGGTTATCTATGTAAAATTATGCACGTATGTGTTAAGATCATTGATAATTTATGTGAATGTCACTTACCTCTGGAATTAATATTACCTGTGGCGTAGCTAGAACTTTAGTCGCACGGGCGCACCCTGAAATTGCTGTTCTCCTTGATATCCAAACAAATAACTAAAAAAGAATATCAAAATGACACCCAGAGAAATAAATTAAGACTTCGTATTCGTTTTTGAAGGAAAACTACAGTTCCAACTTTTTAAAAATTATATTATTATTTGTATTTCATTTATTTATTTATTTTGTTCTCAAAACCCTCGATTACATCGCAGAGGTCTATGATTACCCCAGCTGCTGCCATGCAGACAAAATGCAAAATAAACAGTTATAGTTCCTAAGTACTTCTTAAATATAAGATAAACATTTATGGTTCTAAAATACATTCTAAATGATTTTTAGTTAGAAAACTTTTCTCACAACCAACAGCGCTTATAGCAGTTGTAAGGAAAGTTCGTAATAGTATTACAGTATTTGGAACTTTGTTCTGAAGATTGTATTCTAGAATAAACCGCAAAAAATTAAAAGGACCGCCCTTTCACGTTCCTATTTTGCTTTCCGTGGCAATACCAGAATAAATAAATAAATAACCTCTGAACTATTTCTTTCTTAGAGAGGAATTCTTCCTTATTAATGCCACTGTATTCTTAATGTAGTTATGTTCGTAATGTTCATTAAAAAGCTTGAATGAAGTAAAAAAAGATATAACAAGAGTATGTAGCTGCTGGAATCTTGTGCTGATTTCTTTGAATACTTTTTCCAGAGTTATTTTTCTTCTCAATTTAATTCCATATGATAATTTAGACTCTCATAATTTTTCACCTGTGTCGACAATCCACTTGATGAACATTTATAAAATATTGTTTCGTGCAAAAAATCGTAACCGCAAAACATTTCGAGTATCATATTTCAAAGAATATATCCATTTTGACCGCTCTCGAATCCATTTGAACGACTTTTTTGCGTGATATCTGTATGTAAGTACAGAATAAAGGATATATATATATATATATATATATATATATATATATATATTCAAAATGGATTTGAGAAGGGTTTTTTTTTCGTGACGTCTATACCTAACTACGTACGAACGTATGTATGTGTCTCGCATAACTGAAAACCGATTAGCCCTAAAGCGATGAAATTTTGTATACAATACTGCTATAACATCTAGTTGCGCATGTCCTTTTTTTGTTGGAATCAGCACCACCAATATATATATCCACATATATATGTGTCTATAATCAATTCATCCTTTTATCCGTCTCGGTAGTCTGTTTTTTATTCTCATATATTGGTAAATTGTGCTTCTTTTGCTTTGAAAGTGATTGAAATATGTTGTTCTCGTGTCCCGGTTAAGTTTTTATGTCTTTAGTTAATCTGCATGCAATAGTTGTTGAATTATCAACAGTGTAAGTAGTGCTAGGCCTAACGTGGTGGCTATTTGTTTACATTTAGAACTCTTCGTAGTACAGTGAATTAAGCTAGTTTTCTAACCAGTTGCAATGTCTGCCCAGTGGGAGCAAAAGTTAACTTTAAACTTCTGTGCGCCGAAAATTTTGTCTTTCTGCCCGTTGGTCGAATTGAGAGTTTTTGCATAAAAACACTAATTTTAATTTCAAGAATTTTTTCTAAACTCTTTTAACAGTATTTAGTACTTTAGGTATTTCTGCATTTTACAGTTTTTAATGAAGTTGTTTTGAGTTTTTATGTATTTTTGCCTTGCTACGAATTGAAAACTGCATTGCTTGAATGATAAATATATCTCTAATGAAATTCGAGGTAATAAGTTTAAATAAAGTGCAGCAAAATAAGTGGGCAATGTTTAATAGGCTGTATTAGTCATATACTATCCACAATAGAATTTATATATATATATTTTTTACTTATTTTCTATTACACAGAGTAAGTGACGTATAAAATTGCTTGATAAATTAGACAACGATATTAGTCAGCTTTTTGGTAGCCAGTGCAACTAAAATTATAACTTTTACCACTAATGCAATAGATACGCGATACATTATTTAAAATGATTACTTTTCGTACATATTCAGGAAGCATATACGGTATTTCCTTCCTCCTTCCTGCATGCCTTTGTGGGGTAACGGTAGCACACTCCGCGTGTATTCGAGAGGTCCAGGTTCGAGTTCCGTCGAGGGCATTGCACATTTTTCATGTCTCCTGCTTCAAAAATCCGAAACACCTTCATATGCTAATTACATAATGCTACAAGCGCAGGCTACGTATTTAACTTTGAAGTGCATTTTAAAACTTTAATGTAAATTTTAAATATCAATACTCAATTTTCGAGGTTTGATTGGGAAGACAAAGATATACGAAAACTGGATATAAAACAGAGATCGTAGATATAAATATAACAAGTGAACAAGTCTTCGTTCACTGAACATATGAAGCTTACATCTTTTCAGTATAATCTTTTCGCATATTTATCACTTTCTATCGTACATCTAACAAAAGATGGATGTGTCCATCACAGCTATTTTTTTTTTTTTTGTTTTTTTTTTTTTTTTTTGTGTTTTTGTGTGTGTGTGAACTTAGCATATGAAAGTGTTGAGTTTGGAAAACGTTTTTCCTTTTATGAAAAGATTTCCTTTCTTGCCATTGATTACTTCCGGTTTGGTTTGGAACGGAAGTTTAACCATGTACTATCTTTCAAACGCGATGGATGTTCGAATACCTTTCTTACCATTAACATGCTCATAAATTTCCTACAGAAGCCAAAGAAATGAAGATTATATAGCTGTAGTACAGTGGAGCCTCGAGATACGAGCACCACTATATACGAGGAAAGTATGAGCGAAAAATTTGTCTCTAAATACGAACATTGACTCGAGTAACGAGCAAGGAACCAGGTTGTTGGTATGCGTGGCGCCATTTCCCGATCCGCCTCGACTCGGGGAATCCCCTCGTCAGATCACTCGGTGTTATTGATCTACGTATTTGTGCGCATGTGAGTCAATTGTCACATAAAAATGATTATTTCGCGATGCCTCCCAAGAAGATTATGGCCTCAGATAGTGCTGCAAAGGAAAACAAGAAAACCATGGTCGTTGAAATTAAGAAAAAAATCATAGATAAAAATAAGCGTGGTGAAAAAGGTACAGAATTAGCAAAGACTTCTGTAACACGTCTTGCCTTTCGACATCACTATCTGTAACACGTGTTGCCTTTCGACATCAACGATATACACTATTCTGAAGAAGCAGGAAGAAATCAAGAAATTTGATGTGGCCAAAGAAGTTACCGTTACGTCCAAACACCTTCCAAAACTCCCAGAAGAGGTTGTTGGTTTTGGATTAAGGAGAAGTAGTTAAATTTTATTTACTAGTGTTATTAATAGAAAAATTGACTTTTATGTTGATATTTTTGGACGTGCGGAACGGATTAACTGGATTTCCATTATTTTCAATGGGGAAATTTGTTTTTAGATACGAGAAACTCGTTATACGAGCTCATTGCTGGAACGAATTAAACTCGTTTCTCGAGGTTCCACTGTATAGGGATTTGTTAGCTATTACCAATATATATAATGATTTTTTACTTCTCTTAGGTGTTGTTCTGTCACTATAGCGCTGATAATGAGATTATCACATCTAACAACACATGGGGTTAGGAGAAACTTTTACTAGCGAAAATAGTTTCGCTAGGAGCGATGTCCCGGCTAGCTACGTTGGGCATACATTTTCTGTCTACGGAAATACGGAAAGTAAGAGGAAATGGATCAATTTAACTATATAGTTATTTTTTAGTAAAAACTAAACTCAGTGGGGCAACAGCCTTAGTGGGACACGGCCTGCAGTGCCCCAAAATCTGCTTTCTTGACCTTGGACCCCGGAGTGCATCAGCATATGCCCTGGGCAAGTGGTCAGCTTGTCGCAGGCCCCCCGGTGTTTAGTCCCCAAGCGAACTTGATACTCATTTTATCGACCCACTCAAGGGTGAGTCAACCTTGCCCAGCCCGGGGATCGAACCCCGTACCTGTGATGCAGCTGCGCGACTCGCTAGCCACTTCGCCACCGGGCGGTCATTTTTCACTAAAAACCTGCATTCAAAAAATGACTTAGCAGTTGTGCTAAATTATGTTACTGCGGAAGCGGTGGCGGTAAGGATATTTAATTATCTCCTGAGTGGGCAATGGATGTAAAAAGGTTGACTACTGCTGATTTGAATAGTAAAATGTTTGAAAATTTGTAATCTCTTCTCAGCGTGTTTGTTATTTAGTGTAACTGAAACTTAAAGGTATTCGCTCGGTATTCGTTAAGATGAATGAAGCAAAATTGTTTGTTCAGGCTGCTAGAAGGAAATTACTGTGAGAGAATGCTCGTTTCTTTATCTGTAACACGTGTTGCGTGTTTTTATCCTTTTACACTGTCATTTCAAACTGCAACTGTCATCTCCAACCGTTTTATAATTTAATGGCACAGAAGAGAAAAAGCAAAAAAAAAAAAAAAAAAAAAAAAAAGGCGAAAGTTGTTATTAATT